GTGAGTAGTTTGGTGGGAAGGACAGTTACAGAACAGGTGACTCAGGATGACTCAGGTCAGAGCAGGTGATGAGGGGTGACTCAGGATGGAGTAGGTGATAGAGGCTAGGAGAGGGTAGTTTATTGAAATGAGGGGCAAGGAAACAAAGAGAATGAGAAAGTTAAACTTTAAAATGAAGAACAAAGAACAGGGGAGCTGAACATACTGACACGTTGGTCCTTTGGAGAGGATCTCAGAACTCATTGTACTTAACAATTTACAGGCTAAAACCTTTGATGAGGGATTTATTATATCCTACACTATGTACCAACTCACAGCCCAAGCAGCATGCTCAGGTGGTGTCGGTGGCGTTGGCAGTGGCATGGTGGGTAGGGAGAGCTTGTCCTCAGGACATGAGCAATTGTGCAGCAGCCTTGCTGTTGGGGGTACAAGGTTCGTGGCAGTGGCCCCAGACAGGCAGCTCTCAGGCTCTGGGGAGCATGTGTTTTGACTCCCTTTGTCCCTGAGGCAGCTTCCCAGTATGCTGCACCACCCATCCCTCAGGGTGTAAGCCCACTACATGGGCTAGAGTGCTGGGGACCCAGCCATGTTGCTGTATCCTGCTACAGTCCTCTAGGCAAACGGAGGGATGTCAGTGGGGCTCTAGGGATTTGGAGATGATGGGGCTGTTGACGCCCCAGGGCTGTTTTTTGTTTGTTTTTGAGACGGAGTTTTGCTCTTGTTGCTCAGGCTGGAGTGCAATGGCGCAATCTCGGCTCACTGCAATCTCCACCTCCCAGGTTCAAGTAATTCTCCTGCATCAGCCTCCCAAGTAGCTGGGATTACAGGTGCCCATCACCGTACCCAGCACATTTTTGTATTTTTAGTAGAGATGGGGTTTCACCATGTGGGCCAGGTTGGTTCCGAACTCCTGACCTCAGGTGATCTGCCCGCCTCAGCCTCCCAAAGTCCTGGGATTGCAGGTGTGAGCCACCATGCCCAACCCGCCCCAGGGTTGTTGAAGCCCATGGCAGAATGTGGTATAGTTGGGGCTGGGCTCTCACAACAGCACCGTACTGCAGCTGCTTGGGTCTCAGTGCACGTGGGAACAGCATGAGCTCCCTATCTGGAAAAATATCATTGCGTGGACTCCAGGCAGTTCTTTACACTGGCCTCAGGGCCTGAGAGTGTCAAGGGGCTCTCCCACAGCAGGAATGTGGGAGTCCATGGTGGCAATATGGGCTTCTAGGAGTCTCTCACCTTCCCTCCTCGCCCCCACCAGCCAATTCCCTCCCTCTCATTCCATGCCTCAGGTGTTAGCTGTCACTTCTCTGCTCAATCCTAGTCCCTCTTAGATGTGGTGATCTGCTGGCTGTTGAGGTTGTTCTTTGTGGAAAAGGAGGAGTGCAGGGCGGGTGCCTCCAGTCAGCTGTTTTGAAGCCTCCCCTTCAGGGCATGATGTTTGAATTACAGTTGCTTTATAATAGGTTTTGAAATCAGGTGGTGTAATACCTCCAGTTTTGTTCTTTTTGCTCAAGATTGTTTGGGCTAGTCAGGCTCTTTCACAGTTCTGTTTGAATTCAAAGGATTTTTTTCTATTTCTGTAAAAATGACATTGGAATTTTGATAGGGAGTGCATCGAATCTGGAGATCTCTCTCTCTTTCTCTCTTTCTTTCTTTCTTTCTTTCTTTCTTTCCTTCTTTCTTTCTTTTCTTTCTTTTTTCTTTTCTTTTTTTTTTTTTGTTTTTGAGATGGAGTTTCACTGTTGTCGCCCAGGCTAGAGTCCAATGGCACCATCTCACCTCACTGCAACCTCTGTCTCCTGGGTTCAAGTGATCCTCCTGCCTCAGCCTCCCCAGTAGATGGGATTACAGGCACCTGCCACCACACCTGCTCAGGATATATATATATACACATACACATATATATATACACACACATACATACACACACACACACACACATATATAGTATTTTTAGTAGAGAAAGGGGTTCACCATATTGGCCAGGCTGGTCGCGAACTCCTGACCTCAGGTGATCCACTTGCCTTGGCCTCCCAAAGTGTTGGGATTACAGGCATGAGCCACGGCGCCTGGGCAGATCCCTTCTTTCTTGGAGGCAGCAGCCAGAAGCTCTGCTGGGAGAGAGCAACATCCTCCCCTAACTGCCGCCTCTCATTTTAGCCTTTCTAGGGAAAACCTGACTTCCTGGTTTGTCAGTCAGCCTGGTCTCCTCAACTACTGCATGTGTGTGTTGAAAATATTTGCATGATGCTGTCAAGGTTGCAGACAAATAGCAATAATTTTACATGGTTGGTGAGAATGTAAATTAATTCAACCATTGTGGAAGATGGTGTTCCACAAAGATTTAGAACCAGAACTCCTCAAAGATTTAGAACCAGAAATACCATTTCACCCAGCAATCCCATTACTAGGTATAAACCCAAAGGAAAATGAATCATTCTATTACAAAGAGAAATGCACACATGTGTTCATTGCAGCACTATTCACAATAGCAAAGACATGGAATCAACACAAATGTCCATCAATGATAGACTGGATAAAGAAAATGTGGTACATACACACAATGGAATACCACACAGCCATAAAAAGGAACGAGATCACATCCTTTACAGGGACATGAATGGAGCTGGAAGCCATCATCCTCAGCAAACTAATGCAGGAACAGAAAACCAAACACCGCACGTTCTCACTTATAAGGGAGCTGAACAATGAGAACACCTGGATACAGGGAGGAGAACAACACACACTGGAGCCTGTCAGGGGTGGGATGAGAGGAGAGGAGAGCATTAGGGAAAATAGCTAGTGCATGCTGGGCTTAATACCTAGGTGATGGGTTGATGGGGGCAGCAAACCATTATGGCACACATTTACCTATGTAACAAACCTGTGCACCCTGCACACGTACCCCAGAACTTAAAATTGAAATTAAAAAATATATATATTTGCATGATTGTTGGTGGGTGAAAGTCTCACAATAAACCATGAATTCAAAAGTATTTAAATTGGCTGATGAGTCATCATGAAACTGCTCATCCTCACCCCTACACCTGTCAGAGTTAGCACAATTGACAGGGGTTGCATAAGAATTCCAACCGCACATGAGACTGGGTCATGCCCCAAAATCAAGGTGTGAGGATGTACACTTGTACCTGGGGATGGGGAGAGATGTGGAGGGAAGGAGAGGAAAAACTATTTCAGAACAATAATTTATCTACCATAGGAGTAATTTTTACTTTCTTCTTTACATTTTCTGTATTGTTTAAATTATTTTAATAAAGTGTGCATCATTCCAGCATCAGACAAAAAAATAAAGCCGTGTTGAGTTGCAAACCAAAGGGCAGAGCTGTCGAGTATTTGTGTATCTTTATTATTACCCAGGTTTTAAATGGTTTGTTTTTGGGTAAAGTAAACCATATTAGTTTCCCTAAAGCTTCCATAACAAATTACAACAAACTGGGTCATTCAGAACAACAGAAATTTGTTCTCCCACAGTTCTGGAGGCCAGAAATCTGAAATCAATGTAACAGCAGGGCCATACTCCCTCTCAAGGCTTGGAGGGAGAAGTCGCTTCGTGTCTTTCTCCCAGTCTTTGGGAATTGCCTGCAATCCTTGCATTCCATGGTTTATGAACTGCATCATTCCAGTCTCTGCCTCCATATTCACATTGCCTCATCTTTTGTGTGTGTCTTTTGCTTTTCTGTCTCTGATCTCTCTCACTGTGACTTTTTCTTATATTTAAAAAAAAAAAAAAACTTGTATTAGGCCAGCACAGTGGCTCATGCCTGTAATCCCAGCACTTTGGGAGGCCGAAGTGGGAGGATCAGGTGGAAGGATTGCTTGAGCCTAGGAGGTGGATGTTGCAGTGAGCCAATATCACACTACTGCATTCCAGCCTGGATGACAGAGCAAGACTCTGTCAAAAAAAAAAAAAAAAAGAAAGGTAAAAAAGGAAAGAATAAAAGAACACATGATAGAAAGAAAGAAAGAAAGAAAAGAGAAGGGGGAGGGAAGGAAGAAAAGAAGGAAGGAAAAAATGTATTAAAGGTTGATCTTGATGGGCTTCAGGACACAACTATCCCAAAATATAGTATTTGGCCTTTGAGAAAACAGCAGAAGCAGGAAGATAGATCATCCTCCTCTTCTCCCTCCTTTCTCCTGTGAAGGAGGTAATAAAACCTAGGAATGATTCTCTGGCACTGCTCAAGCCCACACAGAGCTCCAGGGGCCTTAAATCCGGAGCAGCCCTGCACCAGGTGCCATAGCCCCACCAAGGGAGGACTGACTCCTTCACACACCCCAGGATATGTGTCACAGTGAAGTGACAACATTGTCTGGGGTGATACTCAATGTTTGCTGTCTCGGCGAAGGAAATCAAGGATGGGCACACACAAAGAGTGAGGTTAAGAGTGAAAGTTTAATAGGTGAAAGAAAGAGAATAGCTCTCTGCTGGAGAGAGGGATCCTAGAGAAATGGGTTGCTGGATCCACAGTGAAATGCAGGAGATTTTATAGATGCCTGGTAAGGAGGTGGTGTCTGATTTACATAGGGTGTGAAAGATTGTTGGACCATATGTACCATTTGCATAGGGCATGAAAAACTGGTTAAGACTAGGTGTTCCATTTGCATAGGACACAAATTTCTGGCTGCCTCCACCCTAATCTTTTATTGTGCAGGCAGGTCATCTGCCTGGCCTGCACCATGTTGCCCATCCCTGTGTTGTACACATGGTAACAGAGAAAAAAGGGGGATGATGGAGCCTCCATGTTGAACATACCTGGCTCCTAGGTAGCCCTTTTCTATTGGTACAGCTGCCAGCATTCCCCAGTACAAGCTTCCAGCTCACTTATTTATCTTTGCAGCTGGATTTTTCAGGCTGCTCTTTGTTAGAAAAGAAATTATTTTGGGGATTGCTTTGTGTTAGAAGGGAAGCTCTGTCAAGGACTCTGTTGCCCTCACTATCTGCTTAAATAATTTCTTTCTACCTCCTATATCAACAGGATACTGAGGTGTGGAAAAACTGTGGACTGTGTGATCCCCCACCCATGCTGCTCCTCACCAGACAGGGCTCACCAGCTTGGGCTCCCAGTACAGCTACCCTGACCCTACCTGGATACTGTGGTTGGTCATGGCTCTTGCATTCCTCTGGAATGGAACTCCAAAGGTAACTGACAGGCCCTGTGCAGTTGCTGGCAGCAGCTGTCCTCATTCCTTCTGCCCTGAGGCTAAGAGAGAACAAGGAGGCTGGACACTTATGTGCACCTCCAGCAGAACTGTGCATGCCACAGCTCCCTACTTCTGCTGTTCTCTGACAAATGTGGTTTGCCACCTTCTGGCATTCAGTGTACCCATCCTACCCCTGTGTGAGCATTTTGGCTACAGCCCAGTGCGCTTCTGAAAACTGTACCCCCAACAGGCTTGTGATCTTCCCTTGGGCATCCACCACTGAAGTGTTTTACCTGCCCCTGCCTAAGAGCTCAGTCAGTGACCCATAGACCAGTCTGCCCTCCCCATCACAGCCAGCACCTGGACTCTGGGCCAGTCCAACCCCAGTCCAGCCCCCTTAGAACAGATACACTCTGACCAGTGGCCCATGTACTGGCCTGGGAACTGGGAAACTACCTAGTCCATCCCAACTCTGCTGGCCCCTTACCACTTCTTCCAGGGCCTCAGGTCAGGCCAACCCAGTCAGCTAACAGCACCACAATGAACACCATCCCCATGGGCCCAACGGTGGGGCAACCTCTTTCTTTACTGCCACGTTGGATAACAGGTGAGCCATAAACTGATAGTTTGCTTAGAATGATGATTTCCAGCTTCATCCATGTCTCTGCAAAGGACATGAATCCATCCTTTTTTATGGCTTATGGCTACATAGCATTCCATGGTCTATATGTGCCACATTTCTTAATCCAGTCTATCATTGATGGACATTTGTGTTGGTTCCAAGTCTTTGCAATTGTGAATAGTGCTGCAATAAACATATGTGTGCATGTGTCTTTATAGTAGCATGATTTATAAATCTTTGCATATATACCCAGAAATGGGATCACTAGGTCAAATGATAAGAAATGCTATGATTTTCTATACACCATTGTACATTGGTATGTAGAAAATCATAGCATGTCTATACACCAGTAACATTTAAGCTGAGAGGAAAATCAAGAATGCAATCTCCGTTATAATGGCCAATACAAAACATGAAATACCCAGGAATACATCAAACCAAGGAGGTGAAAGAGCTCTGCAAGGAGAACTACAAAACACTGCTAAAAGAAATCGCAGATGACAGAAACTAACAGAAAACATTGCATGTTCATGTATTGGAATAATCAATATATTTTTTTACATGGCCATACTGCCAAAGCAATCTATAGATTCAATATTATTCCCATCAAACTACCAACATCATTTTTCACAGGATTAGAAAAAAATCGTTCTAAAATTCATAGGGAACCAAAGAAGAGCCTGAATAGCCAAATCAATCTTTAAGCAAAGAGAACAAAGCCAGTCATCACACTATCAGACTTCAAACTATACTACAAGGCTACAGTAACCAAAATGGCATGGTACTGGTACAAAAACACATAGTCCAATGGAACAGAAGAGTGAACCCAGAAATAAAGCTGCACACCTACATCCATCTGATCTTTGACAAAGTCAACAAGGCAAACAATGGGGAAAGTTCTACCTATTCAATAAATGGTGCTGGGATATCTGGCTGTCCATATGCAGGAGAATGAAACTGGATCCCTACCTATCACCACACACACAAATTAAATCAAGATGGAGTAAAGACTTAAAATTAAGACCTACAACTATGAAAATCCTAGGAGAAAACAAAGGAAGCACTTTCCTAGATATCAGCTTTAGCAAAGAATTTATGACCAAGTCCTCAAAAGTAGTTAAAAGAAAAACAAAAATTGACAGGTGGGACCTAATTAAACTAAAGAGCTTCTGCATAGCTAAAGAAACTATCAACAGAGTAAATAGGTACCCTACAGAATGGGAGAAAATATTCTCAAACTATGCATCCAACAAAGGTATAATGTCCAGAGTCTACAAAGGACTTAAAACAATTTAACAGCAGAAAATATATAATGTCATTAAAAAGTGGGCAAAGGTGCTCGCTTCAGCAGCACATATGCTAAAAAGTGGGCAAAGGACATGAACAGACACTTCTTAAAAGGAGACATATAAGCGGCCAACAAACATGAAAAAATGCTCAACATCACTAATCATCAGAGAAATGCAATTCAAAGCCTCCATGAGAATACCATCTCACAGTTTTTAGAATGGCTGTCATTAGAAAATCAAAAAATCACAGATGTTGGTGAGGCTGCAGAGAAAAGATAATGTTTATATACTGTGTGTGGAAATGTAAATTAGTTCAGCCACTCTGGTTTGGACATTTCTCAAAGAATTAAAAATAGAACTATGAATCAACCCAGCAATCTTATTACTGGGTATATATTCAGAAAAAAAACAAATTCTTCCACCAAAAAGACACATGCATTTGTGTTCATTGCAGTACCATTCATAATAGCAAGGATGTGGAATCTACCTAGGTGCCCATCAGTGGTGGATTGGATTAAGCAAATGTGGTACACATACACCATGGAATACTACACAGCCATTAAAAAAGGAAATCTTGTTCTTTGCAGCAACATGGATGCAGCAGGAGTCCATTATATCTAAGCAAATTAATGCAGGCACAGAAAACCAAATACTGCATATTCTCATTTATAAGTGAGAGCTAAATGTTGGGTACACATGGACACAAAAAATGGGAACAACAGACACTGGGGACTATTTGAAGGAACAGAAAGCAAGGGAGCAAGGGTTGAAAAAATGCCTAGTGGGCACTACACTTACTACCTAAATGGGATCATCCATACCCCAAACCTCTGCATCATGCAATATACCCATGTAACAGACCTGCACATGTACCCCCTGAGTCTAAAAAAAGTTGAATTCTTTAAAAAAACAAATAATAATAGCATTATTATCAATATACATTTAAAAAATTTTAAAGACATAGATTGGCTGAATGGATTGAAATAAAAATAAGATTTAACTATACGCTGTCTGAAAGAGACTCAGATTGGTTGAATGGATTGAAATAAAAATAAGATTTAACTATATGCTGTCTGAAAGAAACTTATTATAGATCTAAAGGACACACATAGGTTAAAAGTGAAATGATGGAAAAAAAATTCCATGTAAACAGGAACCTACAGAGAGAAGAGGTGGCCATATTTACAGCAGATGAAATAGACTTTAAGACAAAAACTGTTACAAATGATAAAGAAGGACATTTTATAATAATAAAAGCATCATTTCAACAACAAAACAATTATATTAGAGGTCTCAGCATTAGAGCTCCCCAATACATGAAGCAAATATTGACAAAATTAAAGGGAGGTCTAGACAATAAAAAAAAATCGTAAAAGACTTCAATGCCCCACTTTCAATTATGGACCGAATAACCAGACAGGATAAAGAAACAGAGGACTTAAACAACACTATAGATCAATTGGACCCAAGAGACATACACAGAAAACTCCACCCAATAACAGCAGAATAAATTATCTTCTTAAGTGCACATAGAATGTGCTTCAAAACAAACCACGTGTTACAAATAAGTTTTACAAATATAAGAAGATTGAACTAATACAAAGTACCTTTTTCAACCACAATGAAATGAAACTAGAAATCAATAGCAGAAGGAAGACAAGAATATCCACAAATAGGTGGGAATATTTAACTTCTTCCCAAAGAATGAAAAGATCAAAGAAGAAATCACAAGGGGAATTAGGAAATACCTGGAGACAAATGAAAATGAAAACACAACATACCATACCATGGAGGTACAGTGAAAGCCGTATTAAGAGGGAAGTTTACAATGATAAACACTGACATTAATAAAGAAAATATCCCTAATCAACAAATTTACTTTACAACTCAAGGAACTAGAAAAAAGAAAACAAACTAAATCAAAAGTTAGCAAAAGAAAATAATAAAGTTTAAAGTGGAGTTAAATGAAGTAGAAAATAGAAAAACAATAGCAAACATCAGTGAAACTAACATTTTGGGTTTAAAAAAAAATTCAAAAATCCTTAGATAGATTAAGAAAAAAGAGAGAAGACACAAATAATTAAAATTAGAACTGAAAAAGGAGACATTACAATTAATTACAGAAATAAGACAGATTGTAAGGATTATGAAAAATTCTATGCCAACAAGCTGGATAACTCAGAACAAAAAGAAAAATTTACAGAAACATAAAATTTACTAAGACTGAATTATGTTGAAATTAAGAATTTGAACAGATCTATAACTAATAAGGATATTGAAATAGTAATCAAAAACCATTCAATAAGGAAAGCTCAGGGCAAGATGGCTTCACTGCTGAATTCTACAAAACATTTAAAGAAGAATTAACACCAAGCCTCCTCAAACTCTTTCTCAGAATTGACAAGGAGGAGGCACTTCTGAATTCATTCTTATGAGGTCAGAATTACCCCAATACCAATGCCAGACAATGATGCAAAAAGAAAAGAAAAATATAGACCAATATCCCTGATGAATATTGATGCAAAAATTATCAACAAAATACTAGCAAACCAAATTCAACAGCCCATTACAAGGATTATATACGGTGACCAAGTTGAATTTACATCTAAAATGCAAGTATGATTGAACAAAAAGTAATCAATGTGAAATGCCACATTAACAGAATGAAGAACAAAACTACATCATCATCTCAATTGATGCAGAAAAAGGAATTGACAAGACTCAGTATATTTTCATGATTAAAAATACACTCAATGAAGTGGAATAGAAGAAATGTTCCCCAGCATAATAAAGGTCATTTATGAAAATCCCACAGGTAATATCACACTAAGGGTGAAAGAGTGAAACCTTTTCTTCTCAGATCAAGAGAAAGGCAAAGATGCCCACTCTTACCACTTCTATTCAACATAGTACTGGAAGTCCTAGCCAGAGAAATTAGAAAATAAAAATAAATAAAACACACCAAAATTGGAAGAAAAAAAATAAAGATCCTCAAAATAAATCCTCATGTATATTA